CCAGTTGTTTACTCATTTTTCAGATCTTGACTTAAGCATAACCTCCACAGGAACACCCCCTGCCCCACAGTCAAATCCTCCAACATACATGTATAAAGCACCATGATCATCTTTGGAGCACCTACCACACTTGGAATTTTACTTTTGTGTAATTACAAATATATCGTCTGCCTCTCTGGTAAGACTGGAAGCTCCAGAATTCAGGGACCATTCCTGCGTGCTGTTTACCACTGCCTAGTTCGGTATTTGGCAAATAGTAAGCACCCAATAAATATTGAATGACTAGATGCATAAGCGAAGATGTGAAAGCTCCTTGGAGAACAGCATACACTCAATACATGGTAACTCTGTCCTTTCCAGCCCCCAGCACATATTTACATTCCATGCCTCTTAAAAATGCGTGTCTAATTGCCCTGGCTGCTGTGGCTCAGTTGGTTGGGCGTTGTGCCATGCACCCAGCGCATGCCTGGGTTGTAGGCTGATCCCCAGTGGTGGGTGTGCAAGAGGCTCAGATCGATGTTCCACTCTCACATAGATGTTTCCCTCTCTCTCCCTCTCCCTTCCTCCCTTTCTCTAAAATATTAATAAAAATATATATTTAAAATAGGTGCCTAATTATAAAGTATCTCTGAAATGACAATTTGTATTAATGTTATCGCATATTCCCCCCCCCCCATGTGCCCATGTATTCTTCTTATCTAGCATAGTGGATCAAAGCCACTTAGATCCAGGAGATAGAAACTCATCTGATCTCAACCAACAGATCATCATGTGTGCAAGTCATTTTTCTTTGCTTCCTCTTTTATGTTTTCCTAGTTTCCATATTAGTAACTTATATGTGTACTGCACTGGCCCACTTCTCAGAATATCAAAGGATTCATTATTTAGAAAACTCACAATGATCCAGTTTTCAAATCACCCACGTATTCCAAAGAAATCGGTGTGACTTTTGCCCCATGACAACAGGAGCATGGGGTGATGATGTAGGATCAATGCCATGACAAAGGCAGAAACGCCTCGGCAGCTGCTCTTCTACCTCCCTGTTGACATGATCTTTTGGTAGCTTGGGGTTTACTTATGAATTTATTTTCATATGTATAATTGTAAGACATGAACCTGATTCCGGTTGCAAAACAGTAACTGATACATACACACAAAATCTTCAAACTGTGACCTTCCTCAATTAACTATACATTTAAGTTGCCGAAGAATAGACAGATCTATGCAAATTAGATATGAATTTCAAACAATTAATTTTTATTTATTGCTTTATTGGCGGTGCGATCTAAGCGGAACATTCTTAGGGTTTTGCTGTAATGTGCTTACTCAACATGGTAGATGCCTACTAAGTGCCAAGCAGGGAGCCATGAGCTTTTCCCAGTGCAGTAAACGAGACACACCTCACCTCTGCTTTCACAGAATTTATAATCTAGCCGATGAGGCCAAGGTGGAGCAACATTCACAAAACTAACAAACGTGTTAAGTTCTAGCAAGTTCAGGATGCTGTGAAAATGTGTCATAGGGGATGTCAGCTGCCTGGAGGTTCAGGCAAAGTTTCTCGGAGGAAGTTACATTTTTGCTGAAACAGACTGCCATCTGCCATCTGCAACTACTTTCACACCCCAGTTCTGACACCTGGACATGTTACTGTCTCAGAGCCTGGGTCCTCCTGTGTAAAATGATAGTGGGCACCTGGCAGAGCTGTGGGACATNCTACTTTCACACCCCAGTTCTGACACCTGGACATGTTACTGTCTCAGAGCCTGGGTCCTCCTGTGTAAAATGATAGTGAGCACCTGGCAGAGCTGTGGGACATGAGAGAGAGTGCAGGTAAAGCACCTCTGAGGGCATCAGGCGCACAGTCAGCCCGCAGCACATAGTGTTTGCTATATTTATACATCAGTGTAGGCCACAGCTAAAGAGGGGACATTTGGAAAGGGCTCCAAATTCAAGGGACAGTCACTTCTCCACACTTGTGCGGAGGTTTCATATCCTGATGTCCTGAGTTTCAGATGCGGAGGCACCTAATGTTTTAGGGCTGTGCTAACTCGGTTTCCAGAAGTCGCTAAGGCATTTTTGGAAGTGATCTTCCCTGCTGTAGGTTAGCCAGTGCCCGGGGCAAACTTTCCGGGAAAATAAGAACCTGGGAAACAGCTTTCTGACCGCAGGACTCACGGCTTAGTCAGATTTTGGGCAGGCTCAAGGGACAAAGTTTTATAAACCAGGTGAAAGGGCAAACCGGAGGTTTCGGCGGAGGGTCAGGAGCCCGGGCGCCACCTGGACGGGAAGAGGGAAACCCCGGGGTCCCCACGGGGCGCGCGGGGAAGCCGGCCGGCGCCCGGGCCCCTCCC